GCGACGGTGAGAAAGAGGGTGTTGGGAGGGGGAGAGAGAGGGGGGGGCAGCCGTGAGAGAGAGAAATTAGGGTTGAAAATTAATTAGGTTTTGGATATATTTATGGTTTGATATTTAAAATAAAATACCTGAAAAGTGAATAAAAAACGTACAAACCTAATTTTTTAAAAGCCACAACTTAAAACCTGGTTTAGTGTAATTTTCCCAAAAATTGGAAGCCTTTTAGATTGGGCTGGTGCCAATTCATTTAAGGCCCGTTCAAGCGTCTCGACAAAATCATCTTCTAGGTCCAAGACAGGAAGATTCAATAGTAATGGCCGAGGCTGCACGTATTCCAATTCCAATGACAATTCCTTGGCCCGATTTCTCTATTTCGAGTCATCGGAACTCGGAAAACTGTAGTGTAATACATCCTGAAGAACCAAATGTTCCTCCTGATATCGGGCCAGTGTATTGAGGCATTGGCTTAGATTCAAGGCCTTGTTAGCATTCGGGTCAATCATTTGGGCTTTATTGTATACAACTTTTGCTGCTTTATAATTGGATTTCTGAATGTAAGCCCAGCCCAAATTCCCTTGAATCACCCTAAATGATCGTGGAACTGGTACTCATTTATCACGCTGCTCGCTCCCATTGCCAAATCCTCCATCTAACACCATGTTCAGTGACAGAACGAAGCTATAAAATGCTTCGTCAAGGAAAAGATGGTTTACTTTTGCTTCCAAAAAAAGAGCAATGAGGGGATTACTTCTGTTGTAATATTGAACAGTCTTGTATCTTCTTTTCCATTTTTGTTTCATAGTGTATTCGATCTTTAATCCATTTTATATGGATGCTCAACAGGGATTATGTGTTAAAAGGATCATCAAACTTTAGGGGCTTCGGTCGAAAAATCTTATGTGTTCATCAATCTTTACTTTCTGCAAGTTTTACTTTATGTTGAGTTGAGATTGTTGTGTATCTTGTGTTTAATATAGTGTTTCTGGGCTTTTCAAAACTTATTAGAACATTAATTATCATTTGAGCTTATCTTCATTAAACAATTTCACTTCACATCATCAAATTGATGAATGTACATTAAATTCCTTGATCAAAATATCATTTAGACACAACTCTAATACATTTGATTCAGTCATTTTAGACCTCCCACGAATTCAAGCCTCACAACTCTAGCACAACAACAGTCCTACAAAACAATAGAAAAAAGCGTTAGTCTTTGCTCATATGTATACATATTTGTCTGCGAGCTTATACATATATATATGCGAGAAAGAGTGGGCTCAGGTCTTACATTCGGAATTTGTGGTGATCCAATTCCCCATTCTGGTGCCCGAATGATCTTGAAAGTTTAGAGTAGTAGAGGTAACAAAAATCACATACATTGATTGATCAAGTTTTAGAGAAGAAGCCATTGAAATTGTCGAATCGCAAAATAGGCAGAGGAAGTAGTGGAGCAACTCTCTAAATCCCATCTGAAACTGATATTAGGGGATTCATTACTTAGTTGATCATCATCTGGTACAACTTCTAAAGCTACTCGATTTTGAAAGTGCAAGACTTGAAACCATATATGACGTGTTTAGCATTCAGTATCGAATAGAACATGATGATACAGTACACGAAACTTGACTAGGATCCGTGTTTATGTACCTTTCTCCCAATGTACTTTTCCCCTTCTCACTTGGAAACAACAACCCATTTTAGTAGCTCCTTCATCCTGGAAACTGTTTTAATCTTATTGCCCTTCGAATTCTCTTCCTTTTTTTACTTTGGGTTTTGAACTGAACGAAAACCATTTAAAATGATTTGATTTAGTTTCGACAATTGAAAACCGTTTGAAACTAAATAAAAAAGGTTACTATTTGAATGTTAATTATGAGTAACTTTAATAATTTTTTACTTTAGTTGCTACGTATCAATTTCACTTTCTTCCCACTGTAAAATGGGCCCGTTTGTCATGACTTTTGAAAAGTAAAAATGAGCTTTTGAGATCCAAAATTTGTATTTAGACCTATTTGACTAATTTTATGAAAGTCATTCTTCTAGTTATAAGATCTTTTTAGATGAAACTGGTCCAATGTGCCTTCTTCTAAAAAAATTTATGAAATAGAAAGTTCTTTTAAAATTAGATTTAAAATAAAAATTAAGGCAGTTTCCTCCAAAATCTCTTCTATAAGATGTAAGAGCAAAAATAAAAGTCATGCCAAACTAACTCATTATATATTGGTCGGAAGTCTTATGTTTCTAACTGCAACAATGTCGGACTTGATGTATGTGGTGTCTCATTAGCAGATTCATGACAAGTCTAAACTGAGTTGCATTTGCAAGCTGCGAAAAAGGGTGTTAAGATACTTGAAAGGTACTGTGGATTTGAGAGTTTTTTATCGAAAGGAGGGTAATGGAGAGTTGGATGGCATATGCAGACAGTGATTATGTTGGAGATGTAGATTACAAGAAAAGCACTTCTGGTTATGTGTTTCTACTCAGTGAAGGAGCTGTGTCCTGGTCCTCTAAAAAATAGCTTGTGGTTGTTTTGTCCACTACTGAAGTAGAGTTTGTGGCAACTGCCTTTTGTGCTTGTCAAGGGGTGTGGATGAGGAGAGTATTGGAGAAGCTTGGTCATTCTCAAGGCAAGTGTACCACTATATTATGTGAACAGTTCTACCATTAAGCTATCCAAGAACCCAGTCATGCATGGACGTAACAAACACATTAATGTAAGGTTTCATTTCTTGCGTAATTTGACCAGAGATGTTGTTGAGTTGAAGCATTGTGGCATACAAGAACAAGTTGCATACATTATGACAAAACCACTTAGGCTGGATGTGTTCTCGAAGCTACGTGAGTTAATGGGTGTGTGTAGTACCACGAGTAAACTGAAAGTATTACTGCAATCAGTTTAGGGGAGGAATTGTTGGATTGTTTCCAATTTTACCGCTTTGTAAGGCTTATATAAGCTAACAGCTTGTTTTGAATTCAATAACATTCATTCGGATATTTTGGTGAATTGCTTTGTGCTTAGAGTTTACAACAAAGTTATCACCTACTTTTTGAACAAAAAACTCTTAAATCTAAGTTTTGAATTGAAAAGTCAAAAATCACGTGCAAGTGTAATTTTTACCAAAAATAAATCTTTACTAAAAATAAAATAAAATAAAAAATGGAAAGCAAATTACCTTAAGTGCCCGCTTGATTGGTTTAAATTCCATGAAAAATATTACATCGGAGGAATTCAATTTCTACTTTGACTGTTTGATACGAAGTAGAAATGAAATTCGAATTTCAAGATACAACCACTTTAAACTTTTATTTTGCCAATTTCATGAAAAATGTATTCCGATGGAATACTTGAATTTTTATTTTTCAATTTACATAGAAAATGGTGGAATTTTAACCTCCATTTACAAAATGAATTAAAGAATATTTTTTTCACATTTGTACTTAAATAATCTTTGTGAGTTGAAACCCCAGCATAACTTTTCTCCATTTTCCAATCCACTTTCATCGGACGCTATCTAGTAAATTCCACCCAAAATTCGTAGCAAATTCAATCAATCAATCAATCAAATGACAAACGCCAGAACCATCTATAATTTCTCCTAATTGTAATTCTGAACCTTCAATTTCTTATTCTTGTGAGATTTTTTTGAAATAAATTATGCCCTAATTTGATTGTATGTTGATTCGAGTTACTGCAGATTCTCGTGTGTGCGTACATGGGCGTATGTATTCGTTGATGTATAGATTCAGGATAGATCTTTTTGATCTATTAGGACGAGGATCAGGGATGGGACTATCATTTGAAAGGGGATTTGGGGGTTCTTAGATTTTTTGAGGGATCTTTTTCTTAAAGCGTTTAATTTTTGAAATTCACGGAAAAATCTTTTATTTCAAGTTTTTGTTGTAATTTTCGCCTAAATTTCCCTTTTAATTGGGAATCTAGACATTTTCTTTTGTGATTTTTACAGTCTTCTGGCTAAAGATATTTATTTTTAAAACTTGGTGAGTGTGCGATGGTTTGGTGGTGTGCTTTATGATTCTATGCAATATAATTTAAATACTTCCTAATAATTTGTTTTGACTTTTACTAGGAAAGGCTTGTTTAGCTTATCATTTTTCTGGTGATTTTGGATCCTCTGGATTCTGCATTTCTGAATGTCAAAAGCACATCCTTCTGTTGATAAGAGGATTTTTGTGGCAATTATGTTTTTGTTGTTATCCAGTTTTAAAATGAAGTTTTTTAATGCTTCGCTATGTGATTTAATGTTGTCGTGTTTTGGATTTTGGGTCTGCTTTATAGCATCTGTTGTGTCTATGAGATTCGGTACTCCGCCCCTTATTTTTCTGTTTGATTAGAGTCAGATGTTGTGCAAATGACCATTTTCTGTTCCACAATACAACTGCAGGTTGTGGGACTCTTTGATGATTGTGGCTCAAGAATTAATCAATACTTCTTTACTTGAGGCCCTATTACTTCAAGATTATAAGCATTACTGAAATTTATTTATTAAATGCTGCTGACGGGTTGCCAGCCAATATGCTATAAAGTTGAGTAAAGATACTGTATTTTTTCATTTGCTAAGTCCGATCCAGTGTTGTTATAGTGATTCAGACGTTGCCGTAAGGGAGAAAACTCAGAACCCTTTTGTGGTGAGTTAAATACAATAAGTGATAATATTGTGTTGTTATAACCTTGATGTATTAAGACTGCTTGTTACCTGAATGCGGATTTGTATTTGTTTATGTTTATGTCATGAGATTGAATCACCTTTCTTTTTGTGTGAATGTTGTCAACACTCGAGTCACTATATCTGGTGATCCTTTGTGGTTCGTCCAAGTGGCTGTTTAATTTGCACTGCCAGGTTGGAATAGGGGAGTGAGAAGCAGTAGTGCATTCTTTTCATGTCCATTTATAGCGGATTATTTTGGGGAATAATAACTGTCCCCTGTTGCACCAATAGATCTGGAAGTTACTGCATGACTTCTCCTTTATGATCAAGGTAAGTCTGTCTGCAAATAAAAGCATGGCCTTTTGTAGTGCGTGGGGGGTGATGAAGAAATGGAAGACACGAGTGACTAGGTATAAAATATTTGCTGAAGTTTTTTAGACCATTTGATCAGTTTTGTTGTTTGAAAAGCTTGGTAAGATCTTGGAGGATTTCATCACAGATATAATTTATTGGAACACGAAATGATTCTTAGCAGTGAATTGGAATTTGTAATTCAAATTGCAGTCATGGTACTATTTTCTAATAGTAATACCTGGTAAACTCATTTATATCTAATCTATTTTTTCTGGCTTGGCTAAGTGGGATAGCCGAGCCATTCCCCTTTCTTTATGTAAGAGCTTGAATGCCGCAGTGTTGCTTGATTAGTGTGATGGAGAAACAAGGTGTTTGGAGTTACTTGCATCTCCATTCCTGACTTTCCAATAGGTCTTGGAACTGTGTAATCCTATCTTACCAAATTTGATTTTAAAAGCATTTCATGGTTTTGGATTTTTACGGACATTGTCTCAATTAAACCAAGACATCCTTTTGTTTCTTAATGGTCAAGAGGATAACAATTGGAGGTACAAAGGGCATTAAGAATTCGGAGGACTTTAGGTTGAGAATTAGAAACCCTAATTCAATTCTATCGAGAGCAATTAAGAATACGCAAGATTTATAGAGTTTAGCCTCAATGTGATACTATCTCATTTTTGTTCTCCGTTGTATTAATTCATTATGATGAAAAGAAGTTTACAAGAGAAAATCGCACGAGTATGTTCTCTGACCCCTTTTTCTCTCTTTTTTTGATGGTTATCAAAAGCCTAATGACATCTTCCTATTTTTAAGATAAATTAGGGAAAAATAGAAATTTAGGACTTATATTCATAAGATGAATTTTACTGGAACACAAATTTCTAAATTGCCCTTAATGAAATACAAGAGTCTCTACAACCAGCTCTGTGAAGTGGTAATAATTAGGTTTCACAACTTAACACTTTCTGGTCGATAGGTTCACAAATACAAGAGTCTTTGATCTACAAATGTGGGGAAAATTGGATTTCTGAGGGTGGGACATCAGAATGGGGATAGTCACATATTGTAGCTGATTTGGAAAGAAGATATGAATGGTTCCATGAATTTATTCTCTGTTTGATGGCCATTATAAAGAGAAATTGGGGGAAAATGATGTTTTGAATATTGATTTTTTTGAAGAATATGTGATTAAGAAGTAAGGAAAATTTTTGAGTTTACGTACAAAATATTTTATTGTTTGAATATGTGGTTGAAAATGAGTATGAAAAATAAAGAGAAATAAAATAAAGAGAGTCAAACAGGGGCTTATTAAGAAATCTGTTCTGCTGGTAATTGCAGAATCGTAGTGATTGAGAATGTGTTTCCTCCTTCCCTCGATTGTTGATTCATACACTTAACACAGATAACTTGGCACTCTTAGCTTATATTCAACTTGAATGTTCAATTAATCTCTCTCTCTTTCTCTCTCTGCATGCATGTGAGGGCCCACACAAACAATCAGCAAATGCTCAACTTGTGAAGCAATGTATTTTTCCCTTTTTGTAGGTGTTGGGTGGCATTCTTGTCATGATAATATTTCTACTGTCTTTTTCTTACTGTACTTTGTTTTTTCGTGTTAGATTTGTCTGGTGAAATCTGAATGTAGATATAATTTTTTGCTGTCATTTTATATGTTAAAATCTCTTTGATTTATTTTCTTTGCATTTTAGTGGAATGACTAGTATGCTAATGATTTCAATAATAGTAACATATCACAGTGCACATAGATGGCCAGTAGAAAACGAAGCTTGTCAAATGGTGCAGATGTTTCTGCTCTGTACAAGGAATTGGATGAAGCTTCATGTCCCATATGCATGGACCACCCACATAATGCGGTTCTTCTCATTTGCAGTTCCCATGATAAGGGATGTCGATCATACATATGTGACACTAGTTATAGGCATTCAAATTGCTTAGACCGATTCAGAAAGCTCAGAGAAGAAAACAAGGACAGCTTGGACTCAATAACTTCTGGTGACTTGACTGTGGAGGCGGGGGAGGATACAAATCACATTCAGATTGTAAGTAACACTACAGCAACCATGGGTCTGCCTGGAGGATCAGGAAGCACTCAAGATGCAAATTCTAACTTTGAAGAACAAGAAGGAACATTATGGGGTAGGCTTGATCTTGGGGAAACTGACATGGAGAAATCAGAACCTATATCAAATTTGAGTTGCCCTTTATGTCGTGGGAGTGTTTTGGGCTGGAAAGTTGTAGAAGAGGCCAGAAAGTACCTCAACCTGAAGTCTCGAAGTTGCTCTCGTGAATCTTGCTCGTTCCTTGGCAACTATAGGGAGTTACGCCGGCATGCTAGAAGAGTTCATCCATCCATCCGTCCTGCGGATGTTGACCCAACAAGACAACAAGCTTGGCGGCGCCTTGAAGACCAAAGAGAATACAGTGATATTGTTAGTGCCATTCGCTCAGCCATTCCAGGCGCAGTAGTACTCGGTGACTATGTAATTGAGAATGGAGATAGGGTATCAGGGGAAAGGGAAAGAGGTGGAGGTGAAGGTGGCCGGTGGTTAAGCACCTTCTTCTTGTTTCAGATGATTAGCTCAATGGAACCAGGAGGGGAGCTAAGGGGTGGCAGGTCAAGAGCTTTTTCAAGGCATAGGCGCCCGACTGGAACCTTTTCTAGGCGCCGTTATTTGTGGGGTGAGAATTTATTGGGCCTCCAAGATGAGGATGAGGATGATGATGGTGATGGCGATGATGAACCGGACCCAAACATATTAGGCAATATTGATGAAGATGTTCCTCCAAATCCAAGACGACGTCGACGACTGACACGTGCTCGATCACATGAAGACCAGCCATAGGTTATTGGCAGAAGGATTTGGTAGCCCCCCTCATTGTTTCTGTACATAAATTCATATTTTCTTATATCAAAACAGCATTTTTTGATATTCTCCAAAATGTTTTTGATAATGTGCAGGTTCCCTCTTGATAACGAGCCAGGAATGAAGTTTCTGAAATTCATCAACTGAGAGACAGAATTTGATGGATTGGGCGAATGGAAAGATAATCTAGGATTTGCTTGCAGGTTGTTCCTTCAATAGGAAGAGGGTGAAAATAATTGCAGGTGGTCTGTTTAGTTTCTGTGGCTTATCCCCAGAAATATGTAAAAAATGCTTTATCTTATGTTGGATGTCTGATCATTGTTAAACCTTGTGAAATACTACGTATTCTGTTCACATGTTATGTTCGTTATTCAGTATTCTCTATTCAGCATCTTTCATTTTGATCCAATAGTCGGATATACTCAATGAATGACTCGACGTAGATGCTTGAAATAGTGAACACTTCAATGGCATGCTTGATAGAAATTACTCTGCACGATTGAACACCATCAATCTTATCTGCACGATTGAAGTTAAAAGTGGCTTTTGAGATTAAGAGGTTGTTTCTGGAACTGTTTGGATAATTTCTAGGAAATATTTTGTTGGCTTTAAAGAGTTTTTAAATAAAGTTAGCTCAAGTTGACTTTTAGAGGAATGTACTTTACGTATCATAAAAATGTCTTTGAAAAGTTCTTTAAGTAAAGACATTTGTTTACACAATATATCCAATTTTAGGCTTGTTGCATATGCACTTTCTTTCACATCTACCTATTATAAAATTGCAACCATGCTATAAGTACAATTTTTTTGATATCAAGTTTGACAATGTGCCACGTGTTGAAGGTTGAGTGACCAGTTTTTAAATACCACACACTTTCCCGTCCATTCGAATTTGAATTAACATGGATGTCAAATTTCTTATCAACAATGGATTGTACACAAAGCATTATTCATAAAATTGTCACATCATTTATTTGTCAATCAAGTGGTAATCAAGTGGTAAAGGAAGGTGTACGCATAGCTTTATCCATCTAATTTTTATAAGGATTTTATTATTTGTACACCAGGAGTCGAGCCACGATATATTTATTGGGTATGGACCCCCTATTTGTGAGGGGGTTGTACATCGAGGTGTCAATTCCGGTGTACAAGTAGCAAAACTCTTTTAATTTTTATAGAAGTCCTATGAATAAAGTTCAAAATATTTAGAAAATCAAGTGCGTTATGTACAATTTTTTAAATATCAATTTTTTGTTCATATTCTAGATTCAAATCTGTTTGGGCTGGCTTGAAATCAGAATTTGGAACGTGGAGCCGCAAGTATTGACCAATTTTATGAGATGATGGCCCCACTTTTTGTAATGTAACGGTAAAAAAAAGTCATTTTCCCTGATTTTAAGCGCTAGCAGACAGGCCCTAGTATATCCTCGTCAGCTAAACCTGAGATCACCAAAACGACGTCGCAAGTAGCTTTATTTATTTTGTCTTTGCCCTTATTCTTTTCTTCCCATCTTCTCTTTGGGAATTTCCTTCTGGAAAAACAGTTAAAACCAGAAATCAATTGCGTATCCCAAAATAGCCATAGAGAGATGGAATATTTACTCCCGACATTGAGGAAGAAGCAAGAAGTGGACTCCACAATCAGAGACACCATTGACAAAGTACTCGTCCTACGGTTCGGCCGCTCCTCCGACGCCGTTTGCTTGCAGCTCGACGACATCGTATGTTCGCTCATCTTGCCTCTCTGTGTAACAACAATAATTTTCAAGATTAATTTGCTAATTTTCAAATCTGTTATGATCACCAGCTATATAAATCAGCAAGAGATGTGTCGAAATTCGCGACAGTGGCGTTAGTGGACATAGATTCGGATGAGATTCAGATTTATTTAAAGTATTTTGACATAACGCTGATCCCATCTGTAGTTTTCTTCTTCAATGCTCACCACATGAAGATGGATTCTGGGTATGAACATCTGTGTGATTCCATTATAGTATATACATTTTGTTGGCTTCAAATTATTGTTGGAAAAATGTGAAAAAAAAAAAAAAAAACAGGGCTGGGACGAGTTGGAGGAGGAATTCCTAATTCTAACATAGACAATTAGATTAAAAGACAAAGGAAAAAAAAAAAAAAAAAGAAGCATCAAAAGTCAAAATAAGGGCACCTTGTATTTAAGGTGGAATAGGTGATGCGGACATGACGAGATCTATTCTATTGTTAATTTTTATTAATTATGTTTTTATTATTATTGGGTTGTGGGTTGGTCCAAGCCCACAGCCCGTAGGAGGTTAGGTTTTTACTATTTATTGGATTTTTCATTGTTGTTGAATTAGTTGATGAATGAATAAACTATTGGCGGCCACGAGCGTTTTTTCTCCCCTTCCTGTTCTTCTCCCGGTTTCTCCACTGCTTTCTTCTTCTTCTTCTTCTTCTTCTCTCTTCTGTTGTTCTTTAGTTCGATAATTAGTTCTCTATTCATCCTACATCAAAGTGGTATCAGAGCCAAAACTTGGGAAATACTTCATTTATATTCCAGAAATTTCTTCCCAGTGTCATCTTCTTCAAAACGACAACTCCAAATCCATTGCTGCACAATCCAGTCACCACCTCTACCTTCTCTGCTGCTGTTCCTGCCCATCGCTACCCTGTTTTTTGCTGTAAGTTCCCTGGCAACTCCAGGCACAACCTCAGTGTGTTCCAAGATTTCCAGCAACATTCACATACAAAATAAACCTCTACAACCACCATCTCCACCGCCACAATTCACTTCCCTGCAGATTCATATTCAAACAACCAAGTCCAACCACCTGCAGTCAAGGTGCACCACAACCCCAACAATCACCCACCGCCAACTATAACCCCACTAAGTACTTTCAACAATCACCCACATAATCACCAATCCCTAACCTAAACTGCACATTCGACCCGTTGCCTTTAGAAGACAACCCAGCGCCGCCCGACCATCGCCTTACTAGTAACAGCCGCTCCTCTCTCTCTCTCTCTCTCTCTCGCCGGCGCTGCACAAGTAGTCCCAAAAAAAAACTGGAGAAGAAACACCACTACAATCAACCCAACACACTACATCAGTCCATATATTCTACAAAACACAACCCCCCAACGTTTAAACGCCAACCACCGATCATCCTCACAGCGCCGACGCCCATCAACACCGCTGCCACCGACTCCTCTTCCCTTCTCCGCTGGAATTCCATTTGATTCTAGCGATTGCAGTGGGTTTTGATTTTAATTGGGTTTTTCAACTTGGACCGTGCCTTAGTATTATGGGCTGTTATTGTGAGCCTGAGTATTTGATTTTCAGTTGGGCTCTAATTAGTATTTTGGGCTTTGTAATTTTTTTAGTTTAAATTTGGGTCTCAGTTTTGTCAAGTTAATTTGATTCACGTAATTTGGCCTCGGTTTGGTGCCCTATTTTTGTAATTTACTTTTAGTTAAAAAAAAAGAGAAAAGTGTGAAAAAAAGAAGAAAAAAAGAAAAAAAGTAGTGTGAAAAAAAAGAAGAGAATTTTCTAACGTTAATTGCAGTGAGTTTTTATTCTTGTTGTTTGACGGTCGCTCTAACGATTCAGTTGTCGCCTTACAACTGTAGCAGTGCCAAATGGAAAATCATGATTGGGGTATTGTTGGACTCTTTTGAGTCTCATGAGGTAACAATTTTATTGTATTGAACATGTACTTTTATTTTAGTGTTTTGGCTTGTCAATTTTAAGAATAAAAAAATGTTATCGCATGAATACCAAACGTCAGGAGTCCACTTGTTAACAAATGGAAGAAAACTTCTTCAATCTTCATTACCCGTTAATGAGCTCCTATCATTACTTGAATATACTGAGTATTTGCTTTTCCAAGTGGACCAATTGCCTGCTGTTTCCATGCTCACATCTATTAATACACTTAGCACATCATTGGTCACAATTCTCAAATAAACGATTAAGACATCCTGATTTTGTCACACAAGTAGTAGTTGTTTCTTGTCTGGGTGAACTATTCCGCATCACAGCACCTGATCCCCCTTTCTGTGATGAAATAATGCAAGACATTTTTCCCTCGATTATATCATCATTTGCATTTCTCACGAGCACATCCATCAATTTGTATGTTACGACAGTTAGGATACTAGATACTATGGCTAATGTGAAGTATTGCATTATCATGTTGTACCTAGATTGTGAACGTATGATAATTGACATGTTTCAACACTTTCTTGTAGTTTTAAACGGAAATCATTTAACGAATGTCATCACATTCGTAGAGACTATCATGACATTTACATTGGAAGAAGTGACAATATTCCTCTAGATTTGATTACCCTCATTTTGGATAGTGTTCAAAATAAACACATGAAGGGTTCTCCTATTATATTTAGTGTGGTGGAAAGACTTTTTGAGAAATGTGCTGACACGATCAAACCTTACTTGTGACGAGTTATAAAATCTTTAGGAGTTTGTTTAAATGATTATAGTGCAGTTCTTTCCTCCATTCTCACAGAAGTCGAGAGTTGTGAACGGTGTATTGTGTCCCCTATCGTGACCGCTTCTGTAACCGATACACGTAACATTGACATAATTGAGAAGTTACCTAAAGCAATACCATCAAAGTCAGGCATTTCAGATATTCTAGATCTCATGCCTAGTAGGTTACATGACTTTCATGTTGAATTTGTTTTAGTTTTCCCTCAATTACATGAGATTCCACTAGTTGCCACATTGTTTTCTAAGACCATTACTCGATTGCACACTCTTCCTATTGACATTAGGATGTTGTCTATTAATTATCGACATGCTTTGTTAGCTAATCATCATGTTAACAATGTTCTTAAATTTCATGCCAAATTAAGATGTCAAATAATTTTCAATTATGAAGTTTTTGAACTTACTTTCGAGGTGCAATATATATTAGGGTACCCTATTGAAAATTAATATACTTTATTGTGCGTTTCTCTTATCCGTTTTTCTAAAAACGTGAAGAAAAAGTTTTTTGATCATTCACATAAAGATTTTCGATTTGACTGGCCATCTCACTTAAATGAAAGTTATATTTTCAGTACAGAAGAATTGTTTGCTAATCGGGGCTCATTCGAGCCTTCGATATTCGATCATTTTTCTCTACAGGCCAGTCTGCGATGCTAGCTTCTTATGCTCCTTATCATGCACAACCATATGAAAGTGTTAACGATGAGTTGCATGAGTGTTTGTTATTCGGAGTCCAGTATCGATACTTGATTAGATGGCGAGATCGTCCCCCCTGGTCGGATCATATTCTTAGGAATAAGCTGCAGTTTTCGTTACTATCAAGTATAGAGTTTCGATATTTGATTCTTACGAAAGACCATCCCCCGTGGTAGAAATTTATCTACTCGACGGAGTCAAGTTTTCTCCCATCCCGAGAGAGTTGATGCGGACATCACATCTATTTTATTGTTGATTTTTATTAATTATATTTTTATTATGATTGGACTTGTACTAGTGGGTTGGCCGAAACTTGTCACTAGTAGGTTAGGTTTTTACTAAATATTGGGTTTTTCATTGTTGTTGAATTAGATGATGAATGAATAAACTATTGATTGCCACGAACGTCTTTTCTCCCCTTCCTGCTCTTCTCCCGGTTTCTCCACTGCTTTCTTCTTCTTCTTTCTCTTCTGTCGATCTTTAGTTTGATAATTAGATCTCTATTCATCCTACATCAATAGGACTTTTTGACTTGACACTTATGATAATTTCTTCACATGATATTCTGATCAAATTGATTCGTGTCATCTATTTAAGGTATCTTCTCGTTCAAACTTCTTGCTTTTGGTTGTCGAATAATTCATTTAGACTTATGACAATATCATTTTTGGCTTGCTCATATTTGTTCTCCTTCTTTCTTCGTCTTGTTTTTCGGTGAAGGGGAGACGGGAGGTAGAGGTATAAGAATATAAGTCGCTGGCAATATTGAGTAACAATTAACCTGTCTTGCCACTTCTTGTGTTGTTTCCTTTACACATGCAGATATATAGTTCTTGGATTTGATTTTTGATGTTGGGTTTACATTTTTATCTCTTACCTCTTGCAGGAGTGCAGACCACACTAAGTGGGTAGGTAAATTTCAGAGAAAACAAGACTTTGTCGATGTTGTGGAGGTACACTTCTACTTAATACTGGAATCTTGAAAATAGCAGATGGATCAAACTTGATTTATGGGCTTTTACTAACTATTTATAATTATGTGTACTACATAATAAGATGTCACGTTAGGTGTACTCAAGCTTCAAGCTTTTAACCCATATTTGACTAGTTTATGAAATGTTTATAATCGATCAAATTACTTTTTATCCATACATTATGTGACTGCTCACTTATTTATAACTCATTTTTTTCAATTTATTAAGTTAAAGCGATTATAAACAACTCCCCTACATAACTGAGTGTGTAGCATTATGCTGTGAATCTTACCATATTAGGAGAGTTGTGATGATGCAACATTCTAGGAAGCGAAAGCTTAGTATGCAGGTCATGGCTTATGAAAGGAGTAGAAATCAGTAACTGGCCTTTATCGACTACATTCATTAAAATATTAAGAGGATACTATCTTCTTTCTAATGTTGGAGACTGTTTGGGAAGTGTATTACTTGGAAGCACAACCCTAGGGTAAAACTACTAGAATCTTGGGTGACCAACAATATATGATGATTCATGTTTTTATTTGGATTGATTATCAGTAACTATTAGCTCATTTTTATTTTCTATTTTAAAATTGCAATAATTGTACAAGTTAGCAGCCAATACTCCTAGATATCTGTTGAAATTTTTTCTTGTATATTAGTGTTTTGGTTAAGCATTTGCCACAGTTCTTGTTAATGGATATATGATGCTAGTTCTGTATGCTTGCAGGCAATATACAGAGGCGCGATGAAGGGCAAGCTCATAGTAAGTTGTCCTCTGCCTCCTGAGAGAATACCGAAGTTTCAGCTGCTGTTTAAAGATGTGTAAGCGGCTTTGGATTAGGTTTTCTAGAGTTTATAGTTTCATTCAATAAAACCGCTGTGTTATTTGAGTATTTCATCCTAATTTCTGAATGTTTTTAGACAAATTTTCACATTCCTGAAGTTTGTCGACCCAGCTTGAACCTCTATATACAAGAACTGTGTTCAAATCAAGTTCTTCTGATGTGCATGTAACTAGATCAGTTATTATTTTTGGAAATGAGTGTTAGACCTTGAAGGACATGTAACAGAAATGGTATCGATAGGACTCATGCGTGACCTGTCATTATTGTACATTTTATCGCTTATTATAACAATCACTATCTATCATGTTATTTCGTCAATTAGATTGATTTTTCGTAACTTTATGAATTATGATGCGTGAATATTTAATTTTTCAATGATAAACTTGATATTAAAAAAAAAAAGGGAACCTTCTTGAAACTTCTCGAATGGACCATTCATGTATTGTAGGGGTCATTTCTACCTTGTTTATGCCTTTTGATCTGTCATTATCTCTTTCATTGCTTCTTGTTTAGAATCACCTCTTTAGCTGTTTTGCTTTTGCTAGCTTTTCATAGATTAGTTTGAAAAGAAATTATATTAGGTTAACTACCTCTTTTAGAAAATTATTTGCGTATGTTCAAAAGCAGTTTCTTAGTCTTATAAACAACTTTTGATTTTTAAAAATCCTTGTCAAATGGGTCCGAAGTTAAACTAATTAGTAAATTTCAATAATTCACGGTACCCGAGTAGTTAACTTGAACTCTCAACTGATTGGTTACGAGACTTGAATAAAATCTTTTGTTTAATTCAGGCACCGTGTTAATAAATATGAGATGAATGTAATTGGGACAATAATCGAATGAATAATGTATTCCTCATTAGTGTACAAGAGATCTCTTAATAAAAACACCCAATTTCAAGTATCACGCAAGAACATTTGAACAACTTGATAGATATGGAATCCAATTCCATCAAATCTTTTATTTGAGAACCATTTGCCCTTTTCTTGCATGAAATCGACTTCAAATCAAATCTTGTGACTTTTGAGTAAATAGATATGTTTCTTTTCTTTTTTCTCGTGAATCCTATAGTGACACAAGATATACAACGATGTTAGAAACTATCGTGCCAGTTTTTAATCATGCACAACTCTCGATATTTGTTTGGTTCCGTCAATTTGCAAACAGAGTACAAGTACTTTTAAATTTAAAATGAGTACGAGTACTTTTTTGTTGGAAAGAAAATTATGGAAGATACTGATAGTGATTCATGAGAATTAAAGTGAAATTATGGACACTTTAAATTAAAATTGATGGGTGCAAGTGCAACTACTTAAATTGGTCATAAATTTAGTTGACAAGAAATGCATACCTAACCATGTGGTAATGACTAATTTACTTCAACTATAATAAATAATTATAAAATTGAATATGAGATAGTATAATATTCAGGTCATTTTCACACAAATTTATTAGAACATGACAATTATTAAATTGGTACAATATCTTCACACGAATCCCAATTTTTCTTAACAAAAATTATATATTTCATTAATATAAACACATATTGTTCATAAAAATCTATTTAAAATTTGTACACAACTATCTTGAAACTCTTCGAATTAGATCGAAAAACATATAAAATAATACTGTAAGTTCAGAGCCTTTTCATGTATCGTAGTTCAAATTGTTAATAATTAATTCTTTAAATTCTTTGATTTTTAGTTGTTTTGATTATAGTTTGAGTCGGTACCGTTTACTTCCCCTCTCTTTCTCTCTCTACCTATACATATCCATACTGTATGTATGTACTCTGAGGGTTCTGGAAGAGATCTTGATGGATAAACGGCAGAGTGCTCCGATGAAGGCTGATGAAGCAAGCTCGTCTTCGGATAGTCAAGAGTTGAAGTCTAGTAACGTTGTTGATAGTAATGGTGTTGGTGGTGATGCTGCCCCAAGTTCCAATGTTGACTTTTCAGGTACGGATGATTACCGTCAATTTCTTGGAAAAATCGAATATTTGAAATTTATGAGTGGTAGTATTAGTAATTGGAGTTACAAAAAGAAGGTAAGTTTGACTTGTGATTTTGTGTCTGCGAAGTTGGTAATGGCTTAGGGTGGAGTAATGCTGTCAGATAATTATGTGAAGTGTTGAGGGATAAAATTCCATGTTGAACAAAGATGAAAACATAAACCATTTATAAGGGTTTGGGTACTCTTCTTAATAAGGTTACTTTTTATGATGGAAGTCCAAGTCTTAACATGAAGTATTGGAAGTGCTTTCAGTTGATTTAATTGAAACTTAATTGACTCGAAGTGGCTGTAGTTTTATGATTTGCTCACATGATTTCACAGTTTCAATTACTTGGAAATTTTGAAATTGTGGAATTTATAAGTAGTAGGAGATATTGAATTTTGATGTTTTTTTCTGTTTGAGAATTTGTTAATGGTTCATGAGTGGAGTAATTATGTAAAGCTTTTCCAAGTGTTTTTAGATAATTTAAATTGAATTTCTAGGAATGGATGTAGTTTATGATTTGATTTATTTCACACGGTAGGTAGTGGAGGAGGGAGTTTTTCTAGAGTGAATACAATGCCTCCAAAAAATTTGGGTTCTGATATATTAGAGCCAGTTCCAAGTGAATTCAACTTGGAAAGATCGAGAACTGAGAAGCAGAGACCTAATGTTGTACTTGCTAAAGATGCTGCACAAATTTTTGATGAAAAAATTACTGACCAGCAAAAGGTAAGGATTCTCACATATTTTCTCATTTAGGCTTGGTTTGGTGTTATTTTAGATTTTAAAAAAATAAGATTTAGCTGTGCCGAAGAAAGAGTCAACTACAGGAAGAATCAGTTAAGTGTTTAATAAACTTTTGTTTCAGAACAACCTGTAAGTTTTAAAATCAGCAGTTGAGCATTTGATTAATAAAAGTACTTTATTGTTGTGTATGTTATGTGTTTCTGTATTATTATCATTGGTAGTGTTTTATAGCATTTAATATTATTAACTCTTCATCTACGACAACATAATCACTGTGTTATTTTACAAGGAAAAATAATCATATCTGTTTTTTTATCAAAATTAAAAAAAACAAAAAAATCGAAAAAAATAACATCTATGAAATCGTATATTGAATTTTAATCCGTCAATGGCCAAGAAAAGAAAAGTGGAAAACTGTTTTTAATGTGAATGATGCAGGAACTTTGTTATTGTAGAAATCTAATAAATGTAGAATATTAACAAGCTTAGGACAAGAGAGGAATTGATTATATTTATAAGGGTTAAAATTGGTCTTCTAATGATGGATAATTGGATGAGTTAAAAAGCTACAAGCTACCTTTTGTTACTTTTCAAAATATGCTACCACCAGATGGTACAAATTGTTCTATAATTAGTTTTTCTTATTTAGTTTACCAGACACCTTAAATACATGTAATTGTTTGACAATAAGAAGTTGGGACTTTAAAAGCAATCCCAAAACGGGGCCATAGTCTTTTCATTTTCAGCACAGTGCAGTCATTGATTTTGATACTGGTTGCTGCAATTCTCTCTGATGATCTCTCTGTAATAGCTTACACTATCCTGAAAACAACAAGACAAAGCTTATTCTCCATAAAATTTTCTATGTGAATTCTTTTTCCCCATAATGTTTGATTTGGAGTTTTCTATTATGGAAGAATGAAATAAAATATCTTGTTGATTTTGATATGTCTGTACCTTGACTAACTTGTTTCATTAGGAGCTTTTGTGAATAACTACACTGGGTCTATGAGAGACATACCTTAACCATCCATGTGGGCCTTCCCTTAATTTTAGCTTATTTGCTCCCCCCAACAAATTATTTTTCTATAGCACATTTCATCCTTTTGTTGTTTGACCACTAACAAAATATCCAATAGCTGTATTGTATCTTTATCTTCAAATTCCATATGATCACCACTCAAGCACCCACTTTAATTGTATGCATTTGACCCTCTTTGATTTTTAATCCTTATTAGTAATTGAACCTAACAAGTAAAGAATTGCTTTTTTGGGAAGCACATCCCTGTATCTTAACTCTGTTATCTCCTGATTCCCCACGAAATTGTATGCATTTCACCCTCTTTCATTTTTAATTCCTTATTAGTAGTTGAACCTAGCAGGTAAAGCAATTGCTTTTGAGGAGAACCATGACCCTGTATCTTGACTATTATTTTCTGATTCCCCGCTATTACGAAAGAACATACCATCACTTTGGTCTTAATTCTACTTAATCTATAGCCTTTAAGTCCTGAGGTACTTCCACTGACTTGCAATTTATTCCCCCACTAGTCTCATTAAGTCATATCATTACCAAATAATATATACCAAGTTACCTAGTCTAGGATAAGTTAGTAAGATTAATTTATACTATACTACAAAGATAAGGACTTTGTCCCATGGTTACTTAAGTTGCACCTGTTACCCATAGTTTGTGGAACAACAATTCTGCAGTTTAAATGCTTTCCTCATGGTGCATGGTAGTATCTATAGAAGTCTTTTCTGGCATGACATGTGGTTGCACTAGATGGCTTGGGTTTGAGTTCCTGTATTTGTATGCAAAACTTCAGTTGTAAATGGACTAGACTAGGTGGAAGCAGGTGATTTTTTTTATTTTTTGTTTATGATTTCTTTCCATCAGAAAATTAATATGGTGAAGGCTTAAAACAATACCAAAGAATCAGTTTCCTTCTGTTTTTTTTTTCTTTTACACAATTTCATACTTTAGTTCGATCACCTTTTAATAGTGTAAACTATTCTTGTATCGATTTTAGATCTATCTAAATTAGTTACATTAATTTCATCCAGTTTAGTGAAATGTATCATCACAGACTGATAGTCTTTCATTGTACTTACATGCCTTGGGTTTCATTAAATGTTTAAAACACTGCAGCTCAAATTGTTGAAGAGAATAGCTACTGTCAAACATGATGGAACTGTAGAATTTGAAGTTTCGGGAGATATTAGGCCTCAAACTGTAAGAACTGGTCATGATAATGTACATAGTGAACTTGATGAAGAACCTCTTGATACAACAGAGCTTCAACATATTCCTCCATTGCAAATTGTAATCCTTATTGTTGGAACTCGCGGGGATGTACAACCATTTCTTGCAATTGGCAAACGACTACAGGTACTTTCATTTCAATATGTGAGCCTGTATTGATTTACTAGCAATAATCCTTGAATAAACCTTCAGTCTTTAAAGCACCTTCCTGTTAAATTAGAAAGGTGAAAGAAATGACAAAGCGTAGAAAGGAAGAGAATACTTTTATGTTGAAAACTATTGTTCAGATATTTAGCCTAGAATTTGTTCCAATAGCTTTCGAAAATTTGACAAATGAGGCACTTTTAACCGTATGAATCTAAAATTGCGTTTTAAATTTAATAAATCGACAAACTTTTAATTAGGATTAGGGGGTCTCACATGCGTGCAAAATCTTTATTAGTAACCATAAAAGGCCGCTTCCATTGCTCACGATGGATGCAAATCAGCACCTCCTTCAAAATGTTTTGCTAGCCTGCCATGCAAATAAGCTAATGTTGACTTGACTGCTACATTTGTGTTGTTATTGAGTCCATAGCCACTTTAGATTGTTCTTTTCCCTGCCATGAAAGTCCCTTCAGTTAACACCATGGTAAAGAACAAATGCTTGGATTTTATTTTTTTTGCTATAGAAGATCGAATAGACTTCCTCTATGTTTTTTTTAATGACCTTTAGTAAGTCTGCTGGTTAAACTTTTACATGTTGTAAATCTCTTATTTTATTGGTCTTGTTAGCAATAACATTTCCAAGGTGATTAGCAGTAACTGAATAATTTTTTTCAGATTCTAGTGTACAAAAAATGGATTTTTGTCGAAGTTTTTATATAGACTTCAGTGGCATAAATTTTTTTGGTATGTGAGTTATCAAGATAGTTTTTCTTTATTGGACGGTTTTGAAAGCGGAGAACAAACTTCTTGTTTTCAGCTGAAACTTGTCTTGTAATTACTTATTTCTTCCATGGGATTTGGTTTGAAATGTTAGATCCCGACTAAATCTTGAGAATTTCAGTGACATCTATCTCATTCTTATGACTAAGCCTCCGTTTGGAAAGAATTTATAAATGATTAGATAGAAATGAGTGGTGGGTTAGTGGATAGTATTTTCGTGTCCGTTGGAATGTGTGGTTGAAATGAAGTATAACCATTTATAAATTGATTTGACCATTTATAAATTGATTTATAAAGTTTGCCAGTTGTTGGCTAAACTTCTGCTGCTTCGGGTTTTTTATAAAGTTGTTGATGAGAATGGTTGGCTGCAGGATTACGGGCATCGTGTTAGACTGGCGACTCATTCAAATTTCAAAGAGTTTGTCTTGACTTCTGGGTTGGAATTCTATCCTCTTGGTGGTGATCCAAAAGTTCTTGCCGAATGTATGTTTCTGATGTTTATATTTGTTTTGCAACTGACTGTATCATCTCGTGTCTCTCATTATTTCAATTTTTATTCCTGATAAATTTTGTTATTTGAAAATTGATGCTTGTAGTCTACAAGTAATGGTTAGATTAGATGAACGAAACTTTCTACGTATTCTGTTGGATGCACTTGACTCAGAATGTGCTGCCAATGCCTCGTGACCATTCCTGATGTTTCTATGACTAACCTTGAAATATACATGGCATAATTGGATGCATTTTGTTTAGCATGTTCCATTTCGTAATCGTAGGCACCAGATATTTGTTTGTTGTGAGGGTATATTTTAGGCCAAAATCTGGTTGTTTATCTACTGGCTAATGTTTGTTATATATCAATTTTTTTCCCACAAAGGATGAATCAATTGACTAATGAAGTTAATCCTCTTTATGCAGACATGGTTAAAAATAAGGGCTTTTTGCCTTCAAGTCCTTCAGAAATACCCATACAAAGAAATCAAATGAAGGAAATAATAAATTCTCTACTTCCAGCTTGCAGAGAGCCGGACAATGATTCTGGGATTCCTTTCAAAGCCGATGCAATCATTGCTAATCCCCCAGCATATGGTTAGAATCTCTCTCTTTCTCTCTCTCTCTCTCTCTCACACACACACACACACACACACTTCTTGACTCTTTGCGTGGTTTTCCATTTTAGTTAGTTATATGGATGTAGTCTTGTAATTTTAGTTCTTCTATATTTGGGAATATGTGACCTTGTGCTTAGTCCTTATAATGTTTGCTAAGCTTAATGAGTCCACGTCCACCTCTAATGTTGTTAGTTGCTTTTCTTACGTATACTGAGGCTTTTATGTAGAGCCTTTACCTCAGCCACGAAGTTATTGCAGCTATTCTAGGATTCATGGAAAGCAAAAATCAGCTAGCCATGACTTCTCACTATCCCACCTCCTGGCTTGGCCTGGTGACGACTTGTAGCATCCATCTGTGTTTGGCCTATATGTTCCTTTAGGGGGTTTGTGCCTTCGGATACTTTAGGAATAGGGATTGATATAGGTTGCCATATTGACTTACAATCCTTCGATTCCCTTTCCACTTATTTCTCAGTAGCGACCCAGCCTTCAAGAGCAGCTTAATTTTTTGTCTTCTATTCTCCAGATTATCCTTGTTGGTAGCATTGGTACGTGTCTTCTATTGGAACATATAACACTAGTGGTCCTAGACCTGTGTCGATATTTCTCCCTGCACAAAAAAGATGAGACAAAGATGCAGTTGAGGCATTTAATTAGATGCCAAGGAAATTTGACATCTGTGTTGCACAATGTCATTAACCGGGCACCAATGATGACATAATTTCTAGCAGATAAACGAAATTCAGTAGTATAGCTTTGTGCCACTGGAATTTGAAGGATGTTGAACAGGTCTTTTTATTTCTTATTTCCTCCCAGCAAAATTTCACAGAACTCCTCATTACTAGATGGTATCCTGTGTATCTGATCCTTTGTCTCTTGTTATAGTGGAATTTCTCTAATCCTTAATACCTTATGCTCTGGCAGCACCCTTTTTCGTTTGGCAATGCCCCATTCTCCATGTGCTCAAAATTCACAAAATATGTGTAGTTGAGCCTTGCAGATGTGGATGTGCTGCAGCCAATGAAGAGTTTCCAGTCCGGTAATCATTCCAGAATAATATATGGCCATTTCCCAATTTCCAACCTATAAACCCTCCTACCTTATGGCTTACTTGCACTAATCTTTTCCAGTTCAAGTAACATTGTTCTGTGTGTAGTCATGGCTCGATCTGAGATCTTACAAGTGCTGTTATGCAAAAGTCAAGTCCCTTAATTGTATATATTTCAATACAAAAGAATGGTTCTAGGTACTAACCTCGAGTAGAACCGTTGCAGGGCATACACATGTTGCAGAGGCATTGAAAGTACCAATTCATATATTTTTCACTATGCCGTGGACGTAAGTCTTTTCTGGATCTTTTTACTTGGAAAGTTGTACTGTACTCTCTTTAGTTTGACAAATATATTTACAAAAAATTTCTTCATGTTACTCAACTTATTATCTTGTTAAATAGTGAAACCAAATGATTCCATGTTAATTTTTTTTTTCTGCCAGGCCGACTAGTGAATTTCCTCATCCGTTGTCACGTGTAAAGCAATCAACTGGATATAGAGTAAGTTTGCTAAGCGTTTATTTGTGTTCCTCGTGATACTGTTATTTTTAGAATAAAAAAATATCAGATCATCCTTAATTCTCCCCTCTCCCCTAAGAAACCCCAACCTAAAATGGAAAAAGAAGAAGAGGGAACCTTTTTCCCCTTCCGTAAAACTGGGGTTTCTTAATTGCTTTTTACAGTACGTGACACTTCTTGCATGGATTATGCAGCTATCGTATCAGATTGTTGACTCAATGATTTGGCTAGGAATACGGGACATGATAAACGATCTCAGGAAAAAGAAGCTGAGGCTACGTCCTGTCTCGTATTTGAGTGGTTCACAAGTGTCGGAGTCAGATATTCCACATGGATACATTTGGAGTCCTCATCTTGTTCCTAAACCAAAAGGTAGTTTGTTAAGATGACAGTTCTTTTTCTCAGAATAGTCTGTCATGAAAATTCTACTTGTGCCATGTGAAACAGCTGGATGTTATTATTAAACCACAAAGTAAATTATTTGTCAGTGTTACAGCTTGTGAGTTCCATTTCATTTTCCTTGGACATACTTGAATTACATTTTTATTTTGACAAAGTTACCAATTTGAACTCTATGCAATATCTTGTTTGACAGATTGGGGAAATAAGGTTGATGTGGTTGGATTTTGCTTCCTTGATCTTGCAACAAATTATGAACCTCCCGAGTCACTTACAAACTGGCTTAAAGCTGGTCCAAAGCCTATCTATATTGGGTTTGGCAGTCTCGTAAGTTTCTCGAGCTCTCTTACATTTATTTGATCCTATCACCCCCAAGGAAATAAAAAATGAAAGAGAAACCTTTGGAGTAGCCTTTCTCCTGTTACCTTTATTGATCTTGGGAGTTCGTATCCTAATTTATGTTGTGGTATGACTGCATGTGTTGAAGTATATATAAACAAAAAATTCACTACATTTGTTTTGAAATTAAAATAATAACTATGATTAAAAATAGTGATGTTTATTATCAGGTTGTATGTACATGCGATGTATCACTTTCTACCATTGTCTTTGTGTCCCTACTCTCTTTTCTGAATTTTTTGTGGTTTTCACTCCACATAAATTCTTGTTTATCTTATAGTTTGTCATTTTTTGTGTACAATTTGCGGTGTTTTACCCTTTATTTCATCATTTTAGGTTACTTATTTTATTATGCCCCTGTTTGAGCGCCATTAAAGACAGATTTTGGGAAAAAATGTATTTTAGAATAGTGATTTTTTGGAGAATGTGTGGTTAAAAAATAAGAAGTTTTGGGATTACGTGTAATATTATTTTATTGGAGAATGTGTGGTTGAAAATAAAGAGAGAGAGATGCATTTTGAAAATAATGAAGCCCAAACAAGGGCTATATGTTGTAATGGCATTTGCGCTCTCTAACTTCCCTGACTTGACTTCTGTTTCCAAGAACACAGTAATCTCCCCTGAATTTAACTTAATTCTTATATCTCAGCCTGTTCAAGACCCCGAGAAAATGACACAAACAATTGTTCAAGCTTTAGAAATAACTAAGCAGAGAGGGATCATCAACAAAGGCTGGGGTGGACTTGGCAACTGTAAGTTTCTTTTTTCCTTCTTTGATTTGTTCCACTTATTATAAATGCTTTCTTGTCGTAAATACATATTTTTTTGTAAGGCCATCAAAGTGTACTGTATTTATTACGATAAGGCTTATTCTCAGTGGAAGAACCAAAGGACTTTGTATATCTGCTGGATAACTGCCCTCATGATTGGCTTTTCTTGCAGTGTGCTGCTGTGGTGAGCCTTCTTATTTTCAGTTGTTGCTTCTGGTCTATTGAAAAGTGAAGCATGATTGATTTTAAAAAGTTAAGCTTGTGCCATCTGAATTGATTTGCTCTCTTGTGGAATGAGTCATTCAACCAGATATGTAAGCCTCCGTTTGGCAAAATTTATAAATTATTTATAAATGGTCAAAATTCATTTCGACCACATGTTCCAATGGAACCCAAAGTACTATCCACTTATGTACCACTCATTTCTATCCATTTATAAATTAAACCGTTTATAAATTCTTTTAACGGGGCTAATACTCCATTTTTGAATTTTGATTTATGCTAGAATCTAAAGGAGGTTCTCAGTTATATGTAAATTCCTCTTTGGACCTTAGTTATCCTGAGGTCTAAACTTAGTGAGAATTTATATAAATCTTCCACGTGGGTCATTATATATTTTTCATGGGCAACTGTCCAGTCAATATTAGGTAATAAATGAATTTTAGATCAATGATTTGAAGTATAAGAGTAGGTGCACCGTGCATTTACATTTATGGGTGACTTTTTTGTGACGGCATGACACTAGCCAATTTCAATTGCTTACTGACAATTGTATTTATCACGGCCGCCTGGATCCCTTTCTAATCCATGTCATTTATCAAAGGGTAGTTGGATATATATTTACCTATTTGTGCTTCTGGAAGTATAAACACTTTAGCTTGCGAAAATTCTTCATTACTGCCAATACCAGCGTCCTTTTGTTTTGACATATCCAGCCCACACTTGTTACTCTGGGATGAATTGTGGTGAAACTCTGAAGCTTATGATTTTCTTTCCCATTTTTGAGGTTTTTTATTTTTGGGTGGGGGGGAGTGGGGAGGTTGGTGGGTGGTGTGTGTGTTTGTGTGCTTGTATTTTGTATTCCTCTGTCGGTGTGGCCTCATGCTCATTGAATTATGGGTTCATTTAAACCTTAATGTCTTGTGCAAATGTTGAAATCAGGAGTGTATTTTTTAGCTATCAGAGATGATCTTTCTTGTTTTTAGGTCCACCATGGTGGTGCAGGAACAACAGCTGCTGGTCTTAAGGCCGCGGTAAGGATGCATCTTCTATCTTATGTGATTTTGATCTTAAATACTTCTTGTTTTGAACTTTTCATTGCAATACAGTGCCCAACAACAATCGTCCCTTTTTTTGGTGACCAACCTTTTTGGGGAGAAAGAGTCCATGCAAGAGGTGTAGGTCCTCGACCAATACCAGTTGATGAATTTTCGCTTCAGAAGTTGGTTGATGCAATTAGATTCATGCTGGATCCCAAGGTATCAAATTTTAAAATTTTCTTTTGTCTCCTTATGTTGCTAAAGCCATGGGAGAAGTGCTTGCATTAGTTCTTTTAGAGTATTTCTCCCTTGAAGACGGGGTGAAAGCTTCAATTATAGTTCCTGAAACCTGTCTGTTTGTTCTTGTCAAGAGATGTCTCTTCCCCTCTTTTTCCAAATTTCTTGGATATTGTGTAATAACGGGAAAGGATAGGAGATGTATTTTTATCAGTGTTCTAAAATGCGTATTGCGTTGCGATGCGTCGAAGCCGAGAATCAAGAATCACAAGTTTAGGTGTGTCAATGCGAAGAATAAGCGCCATAATACGTTTCGTATTTTTAAGGCTTTAAATAAATTTTTATATAAAAAAATAGATTTTTTAATATATCATAAAAAAAATAGATTAAAAAAAAAGGGATTGGGCGGGATAATGTGTGCCTAGGCGCGCATTAGGCACGCCTTCTAGATGGAAAATGCATTTTTCGCTCATTTTCCGAATTCGACGTGTTTTCGACTCGCGTCGCGCCTAGGCGACGCATTTTCGCGCCTTTTAGAACATGGATTTTTATGTGTTAGCTGGGCACAATGAGCAGGTTTAGCTAAGCTTAAAAAGTTCACTTGCAAGTTTAAAAATTGAATAGATGAAGATTGGAATAAGAAAGTTCACTTACAAGTTTGAAATAAGTTTTTTTTAAGTTACTTTCAAAAGTTAAATTTTCTTTACTTAGAAGTAAGAATTAGAAGAAGTAACGTATCCAATCTTTGGAAACAAAAAGTTACCTAAAACTTTTATTTATATTTAAGTTCAACACAACATGTTCATTGTGTATAAAAAACAGGTGAGGATACTTTGAATTGCATATAAACTTAAGAGATAATATGCAGGTCAAGGAGCGTGCAGTTGAACTTGCAAAGGCAATGGAAAATGAAGACGGGATTAATGGAGCCGTGAAAGCATTCTTTAAGCATCTTCGTTGCAGAAAACTTGAGCCTCAGCCAGAACCTGCACCATCAAGTTTATTCTCTATACGTGGATGCTTTGGCTGTTCCCAAAATTTTGAGTGAATAGGTTGACCACTCGTGCGAATTCTGTAGGTGTGATTGATCATTGATAGAAAAGAACAATCATCCTATGTCTTATCAAGACTCCATAACCTTTGTTTATAGTCAGCATAATTCACACCATTTCTTTCCCAAAATTGTATCAAATTTGGTGTCATGATTATATAATAAGTGAGACTCTCACTTAATATACACAGATTTCATATCTTCGTAATTAATATTTTTTTTAGTGTAATCATTAGCTTGTGAAAATTTTCATTTTGATTGTAGTTTTGCTAAAACATTTATTGCAATTTAGCCATTGAATGTGCTTATAGCTTTCCCTATACTTCATTTTCATCTATTTCTGATAGATAGAAGCCACAAGACACCACTCCAGACGAGTATCAGGCTCCAGCCGAGTATCAGATTGTAAGTATTTGATTCAATCGAGTTTTTTTCAGGCCATTCTTTCTATTCAGAGGCTGGCCGGGTGCCGAAAAGCTTGAAGCCTGGCATGGGCCATTCAAGCTTGTGTGTCAGACATGCCGGACAATGCATGGTGTACCATGTATATGAAGTTGCTTTCTGTACCCATCTGCTGCATTGCATAAATGCATTTTGCTAAGATTGATACTTCTAAGATCCACTCTTCGTGATGGTTTCCATTTGATTTCATAACTTGGTTCTTTAATGCTTGTGCTATGGGATGTAGCAAATGGCAATGACAGGTCGGTATTATGGAGAACTGACAATGCAGTGCGTAACTATACTCACTGATTTAAAAAACTTGGTCTTGTTTTCAAAGCCATGTTTGGGAAAATGGGCCAGTGTTTTTTTGTGTTATGTACCCCAGGGCATGCAACGAATAGATGAAAAAATGACAGATATGATCTGTAGAGTTGGCGGTGGAGGGTCAGATAAATATGGGGCGACTAATGGCTGTCCCCATAACCATTTATTGTATATTAGTGTTGAGACTTTGGGGGTGGGGTGTTGCAGGCTATATGCAACTACCTCTCTGANCTAAACTTTAAAATTGTAAAAATCAGGTTTCTACTTTTTATTAATTAATTAAATATTTAATTGTGTAATTTGATAGCGTATATCTTATTAATTAGTTAAAAATTAATTTCAAGTCACAACTTATTAAATTAATTGGTCTCGGATTATTTCGAGGTCATAGATGAAAAAATTTATAGGTCATAGTTAACTTCGTTGGTCACAAATCAAGAATTTTAAGGTCACAGGTAATTTTTTATAGGTCACAGATTAAAAAAATTCAAAACTTTTACGGGTCACAGCTTTATTTCAGCGAGTCACAGTCCCAATTTCTAGGTCACGGATACCCACATAGGTCATAGATTGAAAAAAAAATCAGAACTTTTATTTGTCGCTACTTTATTTCAGTGAGTCACAGTTACAATTCCTAAGTCACAGACACCCACCTAGGTTACAGACACCAACGACCGCCGTCGCCACCACCACAGTCGACATCCCAACCACCACCAAAAATATTAGATTCACGTAACCATCACCCCCAACACGACCACCGCCAACAAAAATCACTGCACAACTACAAAACAAAGATCCCAAATCTGATCAATCGCCGCCACCACCAAAATCTGCACAATCACCACGAGAACCACCACCACCACCATTTACAAAACACCAATACCACCAATAAAAACAACCTAAAACTCCGACACATCAAACAGACATTAGCAATGTTACTTGAGGAGTGGTGATTGGAGCCAGAAATCAAAATCTTTCTTTGCCAGAATGTTTCTAACCCATGAACAACCCAATGTGAGAAACACTAGAATCGGTAAAACGGCGGCGCCTTCGATTCCTTTAGCAGCGCGCGACGCCACACACCCATAGATTCACAGCAGTGTCGCGACTGTGAGACGGGAGGGAGGGGGTGGAGATGATGGTGAAGGGGAGGCGATGGGATTCACAGAAGCGTTAGCGTCGCGACTGCGACGCCGACAGTCGCGACGCTGCTGTGGATTGGGGGGAGGGGTGGGGAGGAGAGGAAAGGGGAGGCGACGGGAATTGGGGGAGAAATGAGGTTAAGAATTAGGTTTTAATATACTACCTGATTTTTACAAAAATAAACTTAAAACTTGACTTTTAAAAATGGCAAACTAAACCTCTGGTTTTATATAATTTTCCCAAATGTTCCTGCACTGAGTGCGGAATTGGATTTTCAAGAACTCAATTCGTCCATATAGGGTCAACTTTGGGTATGTTCGATATGCTGCACTTGGAACATAAGTATTAACAGTTATAGCAAACTCACCACGAAGATAAGAACAAAGGACTGAAGCTAAGCGCATGTTTGAGCTTCATTTTTTGTACAAAATGTTTTATGGAGTACTCCCTCCGTCCTATAAAGATAGAACATATTTCTTTTTTTTTTTTTACAGAGATTAAGAAAATTTAGTTAATATAGTTTGAAATAATAAAATTTACTATCATTTTTTCTAAAATACCCTTACATTAATGCAATCAATATTTAAGGAAGTTAAATTATATTTTTTGAGAGCAAAGCGCATTAAATAGGAGTATATTGGGAAATTAATATATTAACTACAATCTCAAATAAGAAACGGAACTATAATTTGGGATAAACGAAAAAGGAAAATATCTTCATGGAATGGAGGAAATAGTATTTTATTGGAGAATGTGGTTAAAGAATAAGAAAAAAATTTGGGTTTGTGTATAATATTATTTTATTGAAGAGTACGTGATTAAAAATATGAGAAAAAAATACATTTTGAAAATAATAGATGAGTCGTGCTTGATGAACGCTCTTTGGTGTACATAATGGAGCAGAGAGTATATTAAAGAAATGTCAAAATAGCCTAGCCTGCAAAAGAAAAAAACTCAAAAGTTTCCATTAACTTGCATTAAACCTGATCAACAGTCAGGAGCAGAGAGAGAAGTATATACATTCATACATGTATACAGTATGTGGAGAGAGAGAGAGAAAGGGGGGTGGGGGGTATGGTAGGTTGGGGATTCCATTTCCCAATCCATGACATCTCCCTCTCTTCTCACCAATCACCCTGTTTGCCTCTCAGCATGCAGAAGTGTATTGTATTGGAGGATGAATACTTGCACACTTATCTTTCTCTTATCTCTTCTGTTCCCATGCCCATACACCCCACCCTTCTCATGCCATTTTTTCCTTATAAATTCAAACACTTGACATCTTTTCACATTTCCCAACTCAGTTTCTGAACTCCATCTCCTAACCCTATTTTTATCAGATCAAAAACCCAGCTTCAAATTCTGCATATTTGTTCTTTCTTGCCAACATTTCTTCAGGTCTGTTCATCTTTTCCACACCATGGTAATTATATTTGTGTATATATGTATATGTTTGTGTGTGTGTTCATAATCGAAGATAATATTTGTAATATTTGTATCATTGTTTTCTGCTCAATTATCTTTAGCTTTTAGAAGATTTTCCGTTCAACAACATGTCTCCACATGTTGTCAAAAAGCTGCTTTTAAGCATAACCAAACATGAATTGTATTACAATCATCCTCTCATATCAAGTTTTTCCAGTGCAATTCTTGCAGGAATGAAGGGTGATGATGCAATCCATGATTCACCGAAAAATTCACAAGATGAAACAAAATCATTTCCCTGTTTTTACTGCTCAAGAAAATTCCACAGTTCACAAGCTTTAGGAGGCCATCAAAATGCTCACAAGAAAGAGAGAAATGCAGCAAGAAAGAGCAAAAGGGCTTCAGAATACAATTTTCCTTCACTCTCAGTACCACCACCGTTACTATTTTCTCCCAATTATCCCATTGGAATTTTGAGCCCTTCAGCCTATATTTCTGCTCATGCTGCCACCCTTTGCCAGTTCCAGAACCACCAGTTTGGATCAAATGGCGCTGCCCCGCGATTTGAAAATGCTGTAATAAATCGTAGTAACTATTTGAATAACTTGTATCAATGTGAAGCAGATGATCAGAGCTTCAAGAATTGGCAAAGGAGTGTAAGATGCAGTGGATTTACTGAAGAATTATCAAAACAGACTAATAATCACAGCATTAGGGGTGATGATCGGAGCGCAAAAGATCAGAAGAATCTTGATTTGTCTCTTCATTTATAGACAAACAAAGATTTTTGGTTTGATTTCATTGCACTTAGCTATGACAAACCATTTTTTGTTCCAACAGCCATATGATATGTTTATGCTGCATCTTTTTTTCATTTTTTCATTGTTTGCATTTAATATCTTACTTTTGATCAATAAAGAATTTGTTATTGTTAGAATTTCGGTCTTGATTTGATCATTCCTAGTAGTTTTTCTGAGGTCCTAGTGTTGGAAGGCTATTGGTGGGATGGGGTTGGCCCCGAATCCAAC